AACCCAGGAGCTTGCGCTTATGGTGCTTATGCTGCAGAGATGCCTCCACAGCTGTTTTTTCCATTTCTATGAAAGTGACATTTATCAAGTGCCTCCTATAAGTACCACAGGTATAGGATCATGTGGCATTTTCCTTTCTGGGCCTAATTTACTTCAATTAACATGATGTTCTCCTGCCAGGTGTGGTGGCACACTCCTGCAACCCTGGCACTTGGGAGACTGAGACAGGAAGATGACTGAGAACTGAGGTCAACCTGGGCTACACAGTGAGTCCAAGACTATTCTGAACTACAGAATAAGACTGTCTCAAAAAACCAACCAACCAATCAAACAAACAACAACAAACACCCAACAGCATAATGCCCTCCAGGTTCATACATATTGCCATAAATGATAGGATTTCCTTCTTTTAAAGGCTTGCTACCGCCAGGCATGGGAGTACACACCTGTAATCCCAGCACTCAGGAGGCTGAGGCAAGAGGATCACAAATTCAAGGTCAGCCTGGACTTCTTAGGAAGACCCTATCTCAAAAATAAACACATAATGGCTCAATGGAATAAGCACTTCCCTGGGAAGTGCAAGGCTTTGAGTTCAATCCCCGGGTCTGCCAAAAAAACATAAATACATAAAGGCTGGCTAGTATTCTTTTGTGAATATATAGCATGCTTTCCTTGCCTGTTCATCCTCTGATGGACATTTAGGTTGACTCCACACCTTGGCTGGTTGTGAATCATCTCTGCTGAACGTGGAAGGCAGGTGTCTCTTTCACCCCCTGATTGCACAGCTTCGCTTATGTACCTAGTAGTGGAATTGTGGGATCACACGATAGCTCTGTTTGTATGGAAGTTTTTGAGGAAATTCCATGCTATTTTCCACAATGGCTGTAGCTTCATGGACTTTGATGTGAGGTTCCCCTATAAATTCATTGACTGGGTTGCAGACCACAAACTCTGACACTTTTGCCCAGATGCTGCAGAAGCTTTAGCCCAAGTCACATCACAGATGTGCCCAACCCAGCCCCGGCAGGGGGCAGTCAAGTGGCTTCAGAAGCCGGGCCCTGCTTGTTTGAAGGATTGGCTCAATGAGAAGGCAGAAGTCCTTCCTGTTGGCTTTGTGACACAGACCCTAGCACAGCTCCCAGCTTCCAGCTTCCGCATTTATGAGGAGCTCTTGCACCTGATCCCATGTAGGATCAAGGGCCAGGCTCTTACAGTTGGAAACTCCTAAACCTCTCCAGGTTTACCTCTCAATGTAGAAGATGTGTCCTTCTTCCCTCTTCTCATCCTAGTCTCTTCCCACTCAACAAACTTTTTAAATTTTTAAAAAACAATTAATTAATTAGGTACAGGGTCTGGCTATACAGCTTGGACTCGTAGTGATCCTCCTGTCTCAGCCTCCCTGGCACTGGAATTACAGGCATGTGCCACCATGCCCAGTTTCAGTGGCTGGCTCTGTGCAGGGCTGGCATACAGTACCACAGATTGAACCCGGGTCTTTGCAGCTTTCCAAGAAGGCACTTAGACCACCAAGCTATCTCTCCTAGATGCTAGACAGAGTGGGGGACCCAAAGGCACATTGGACTTGTTTCCTCCTGGGGATTCACAGCTGGCTGGGGAGAAATTCACGTTCACCAGAAGAAGTAAGTGAGTGTTATGGTTTGTGTCTAGTTGTCCCTCCAAAGCCTCATGCAGTCACTGGGGCGAGATTCTAGAGTTTGTGATTAATTCAGGATCCAATGCTAAGATTATGGGTGTGAGTTATACACCTGCCCTGGGGCAGACAGCCTGAATGCAACATAAGGAAGGGAGAGAGGCCTGCTAGCTGCTGCAGCCTCTATTCCTCCCTTTGCTGTTTTCTGCTACCATGAAAGGCTGCCCTCTGCCATGTGCCTCTCTGCCTTGGAGGCAGCTAAGTATGGAATGAAGCTTTCACTAACTTTGAGCTAAATAAACCTTTCCTTCTTTGATTTTGGGTATCAGATATCTTGTCCCAGCAACAAGAGAAAAGTAACTGAGACAGTGAGGCCACAGGTGGTCACAGAAGTAGGAGTCCACTCAAGAGCACTGAGAGACAAGGTGGGACACATTTTTTAAAAACAACCGAGATGATGCACAGTACCTCTAGAGCCCAGAGTTGTGGTAGCTTCTCAGCTCTCCTGACTATTCCTGAAAGGGTGACTGGATCCTTAAGCAAAATGTCAGTACCTACTAGAGGCTACACCAGCCCAATCCGGAGCTCCCCCAACAAATTTCGTGGCAACCCATATTCATTCTCTCTCTCTCTCTCTCTCTCTCTCTCTCTCTCTCTCTCAACATTTTGTCTGAAAAAATGGTGGTGAATTTTACTTTATTATTTTTGAAAGGGAGTCTTGCTGTGTTGCCCAGGCTGGTCCCAAACTCCTGGGATCACATGATCCTCCTGACTCACCCTCCCATGTAGCTAGGAATAGAGAGGTATGTGCCACTGCGCCCACATGGTGGCAGTAAGAGTGGCACAGTGACTCTTGGGTACCAGAGTTGCTGCCCCAACCAAGGGGGCTGAGGGCTCCAATGAGGTTTCAGGAAGCATGTGACATTCTTAGGCTCTAAGGAGGAGGGCAGCAGGGTCTCCCATCATTTCTAGGTGCAGAAAGGGTGCTTGCAAAAACAGGAAAGGGTTCAGATGCAAGTAGTCAAAAAGAACAATAAAGACTCCATAATTGGAAGACCTTTTACTTTGTGTCATTCCCAAGAATAGCAAGGTGACAGGAGTGCCTTGATCTGCTGTTAAAATAATCAATGTGGCAGAACCTCAGGCACCGTGGGCAGGGCACTGAGTTCCTCCAGCCTGTACAGTCTTCCTTTCTTCCTCACCTGAGCCACATTAATGGCCAGCAACTGCCAAGCCAGGGCTGGGAACTCCCAGACAAGTGCCAGGAAAGTGGGGTCCAGTTCAGCATTGCCTCTTCAGGAAACGTAGGGCCAACTTTTTATTGGGAACCAGGACGATGCGGGCCAAGGGCTTTATCTCTCCTGTCTCAGGCGCCAGGACCACCTCATAGTGCTGCATCAGCTGGCGGGGACAAATCACACAGGGGCCATGGGGGCTTGTTCTCCACCCACCATCCCCCTGCTCACACTGCTACCCTCAACCTCCCTGCCTCTCCTCCCCACCAACCCCTTCAGCCCTCCCTGCCTACAGCCTCTCCCCACTCCCTACTCACCCTTGCCAGCAGCAGCTGCATCTCCAGCTCTGCAACCCTGCGGCCCAGACAGCCCCGGACCCCATAACCAAAGGGCACAGAACCAAATGGGTGTTGGGCCTTAGGAGCATCCACCTTGCTCTTCCTCAGCCAGCGGTGAGGCTGGAAGCTTTCAGGATCAGGAAAAGTACTGGGGTCCCGGGATGCTGCATAGTGACAAAGCACAAACTGGGTCTGCAGGGCAAGAACAGTCATCATGAATTTACTGATGCAGGCCTGTGGGCCCTGCTGAGCACTCAGGTTCTCTGGCCTCACTTACATTCTTGGGGAATAGGTAGCCATCAACTTGAATTTCCTTTTCTGTGATGATCCGTGAGTTTGTGGGGACCACAGGATAGAGGCTGTGGGGAGAAAGAAAGTCTAGAGTCTGCCTCCAGATCCGAGAGCGGAGTCCCACTCCTTCTCCCTTCTCTGCCTGGTGTCCCAACCCCTTGCCCATCACCCTTGTCCCTAGCTGAAGCCCTGCCTCCCATTCCTGATCCATGCATCCACACTGTGCTTTAGGCATCATGTCCTACCGCAGAGTCTCCTTCAGCACAGCTCTGAGCAGGGGCATTTGGGCTAAGTCCTTGTGCTGGGGCACCTTCTCTGGTGGTGCCACACCCACTACTTCCTTGTGCAAGGCTGCCTGAAGCTCTGAGTCCTTTGAAAGGTGGTATAGGGTCCATGCCAGTGTGTTGGATGTCTAGGAGGGAGAATGGGAGATAAAGTGAAGGGAGATTTCTAGGGGAAGAGCCCACAGGGTGGTAGGAAGGCACATGAGTGGGTGTACGCCACATTAGGGAGGGTCTCAATGAGCCAGAAGTACAGCAGAAGAGAGATGTGAGTATATAGCAACACTCATGCTAAATGTGAATCTATAGCATGATGACAGAGGAGATGGTAACAAGGAGAAGGCCCACATGACAAAAGGGCTGGAAAAGAGTTCCCTAGAGACAGGAGGTGCTCATGGGCAAGCTTCCAACTCTCCACTTCAGTTGAGATAAGAGAAAATTGGAATTGATATGAGTGAAACTCCCCAGCTATGTAAGAACAAGGGGGCCCTGTGGTGATGGTGGGGACCTCTTTTCACTAAAGGACCAGCCCTAGCAGGGTCTTGTAGTATTCTGGGAGGGTGGTGCAGAAGGATTGCAAGTTCCAGCCCAGGCTGGGCAACTTAGTGATTAAGTAAGACCCTCTCTCAAAATAAAGAAAAATTGAAAAGGCTGAGGATGTAGCTTAGCGTGAAGGCCCTGGGCTCCATCCCCAGGATGCTGGCTATTTCCCCTTGGCATTGCATCCAGGCTACAAAAAGAGATGAAATCATTATATGGAGCGATGAAGGTCAGGCCCAGGCAGTGGATCGCAGGGAATCAGTTCAAACATGAGCTGGAAGCCCTTGGTCTCTTTGCTGGCCTGCTCACACACCGTGTCCACGCCAGCCATGAGCAGCTCAGGCAGAGTGCCCAAGGCCTCCCGAGGACTGAGAAGCCCATTGGTCAGCAGGAAGTGCATGTAGCCGGATATCTGGACCCCATCTGGTCCTGCTGTCTGTAGTTGCGCATCCACTTCCTTGAATTTCTCATCAAGCAACTTTTTCCCTATAGGGGCAACGGAGAACAAAGGAAGATGATGTCATGCTGCCCTGATAGCTGTTGGCATGAGGGAGAAGAAGGTCCTAGGAGAGACTGGGAGAGGCACAGACCCAGGAGCCAGCCTCAGCTTCTTTCCTTGTCCCCTCCGGGACTCCTCACCAAACAAGAAGATGGTGTCCCAACCATCCAGATATCGCTTCCAGAAGGGCAGCAGAGGACGGGTCCACTTGGGGAGGAAGGTGACATAGATGGAGTTCTGGAACATGAACCCGACAGATCTGATGAAGTTCACAGTATCCTCAGGGATCAAGGGTTCCAGGCAACCAACTCGCTTCTCAAACAGGATGTAGCAAATAGCTAGGAAGTGCAGAGACCATTATAGGAGGCAGAGCCAGGGAACCAGAATCCAGGGGACATTGAGAAGGGGGAGCGCCCCCTACCCCAAGAACATTCCTGCTCCCAGGCCCTCTCCCAGCAAGCTACCTTCCAAGGCAAAGTGGTAGAAGAAGTGAGCCATGTCTGGCACCTGATCACCAGAGACGCTCTCTGCCCGAATCTGGTTCAGTCGAACAATGAAGTCGTCAATCACATCATTTAAAGCATCTGTGTAGAGTGCAGCATCAGTTGGCTTCAGCATCCGCTGGTTCAGAGCATGGCGCAACTGATACCACTGGTGTCCTTCCCTGTGGGACAGGGAGAGGCAGCACAATCATTCACTTCAATCAAGTGCTCCTTCCCACCCTGAGGCCCCCATACAGTTGAGGAAAGTCTTCCCCCAGTACTTAGACTTATGCAACCACCAAGCTTTAAATATAGAATCTCAGAACTATAAAAGCTCAGACTCTCACTACAGCACAGTGGAAGTGAGTACAGTGGGCATATGGAATGAAATCACAGGTGTGGTATTACTAGCTGAGTGACCTAGGCAGGTAACTTAATTGCAATATGACTCAGTTTCCCCAGGTGTAGACTGGGCATAACAGGTGTGCCTATCCTAAGTAGTGGGCTTGTTCAGGTTATCAGAGCACCCAGACAGCTCCTGGCATACAGTAGATTCTTAGTGAATGTAGACTGTTAGTGTCTTAGAATTACATGACTGCAGAATCTCCCACAAGTGAAATGACAGGAAGCTCCAGCATTTCACTTTGTCTAGGAGGAGAGGAAATTAGGATTTTCAGGTTCCTCCAGTTCAGTGGGTCAAGGGCACAAAGAGGCTGAGGCCACAAAGCCATGTGCCACTTCTGTGCTGCAGATGGTTGGCACGATTGCTCAGAGGGGTGAGAACACACTTCCTTTGAGGACTAGTGTTGGGGGGCTGCCCTAGCCTCAGCTGCCCCCAAACATGTTACCTTTCCTAACCAAGCTGGGTACACACTCACTTTTGAAAATCTAATTGCAAAGCATTAATGCAATGTGATTCAATTTTAAGGAGGAGGGGAGCACTACACGTACACCTGCACATTTCCAGGGGAAGCAGGGAAGAGCATGCATCACCTGGTCAGCACTGGTACATCAGGAGAGGGGCACGGGAGTGCAGGGTAGATTAGCATTTATTGTTGAATTTTTATAAGTATTACTACTGAATTTTTATTTTTATTTTTTTTTAATTTTACGTGTGTGGGGGGGGCAGCTCAGCCCACCAGGGGGCGGGGCTGGCTGGCATGTGGTGCTGGGGGATTGAACCGAGCAGTCCCTGTGCTTTGCTAAGCTTGTTCTAAGTAGGTGCTTTAGACCACTGAGGCATCTCACCAGCCCCTTACTACTGAATTTTAATGAAGTTTTAAAAAGAAAAAAAAATATTTAAAAAAGTTATTTATTTGAATAAAACTCAATCCCTATCTCCACAGTGAGGACTTACTGTGTCAGGAAGGCTACAAAAAGATTAACTAAAAGTGTTGCTGAAGAAGAAATGACAAGGGCCACCAGAGAGATAGCTCAGTGGAGAGATAGCTCAGCGATCTAAATGTCTGCCTGGCAAGTGCATAGACTTAGGTTTGGTCCTCGGCACTGCATGCTGTGCTGGCCCTGCCCCAGGAACTCTGAGCAGGCCATTGAAACCAGGTGTGGGGGTGCACACCTATAATTCCAGTGCTGGGTAGGCTGAAACAGGAGGATCACTATGAGTCTGAACTGCGTAGTGATACCCTGTACCAAATACATAAATTTAAAAAAATGATGAAGAAATGACAATAACAATAGACCTGTTTACTGGAACTTAGGGGTATAAGAACTGTTCCAATAGTAAAACTCCCCAGCACAGCTGGAAATCGATTTACAGAGCTTAAACAGAAGCGCTTTTGGAGTTGTTAAGTCATTTTTTGGAAAACAATGCCCATGAAGAGAGATCTCAAAATATATAACACAAGAAAAGGTGAAATGTTTTCTTCTGTTTTTAGACAGGGTCTAACTATGCATTCCAGACTGGCTTCAAACTCATAACCTTCCTGCCTCAACCTCCCAGAGCGCTGGGATTACAAGCATGGACCACCACGCTCAGTTGCAAAATAGCTCTTAAATGCACTTAAGTGATGTAATATATTCAGAATACTGTCTTCAGAGTAAATAGCAATATGTAATAGATCACAAAGGAATCCATCCAATGTTCAGCTCCTCCTAAATCTGAGCTGTTAAGTTAGGGGTGTCCTGGTCTGATAAAAACAGGAAAACCCAGACCTTGTCTTCATGGTCACATATCAAGTTAAAGAGCTTTAAAGAGCAGATATTCTGCTTTCCTTTCTTAGAACTTTAAAAATGAGCACTGGAATTTTTTTTCTGTTGTTTTTATTGTATTTGGTTGTTGCAGGGTCTCACTACGCAGCTCCGACTCATGGTGAGCCTCCTGCTTTCAGCCTACCCAGCACTAGGATTATAGATTTGGGCCACTCTGGTTGGCTCAGCCCACCCTGGGGGTGGGGCTGGTGCAGCATGTGGTGCTGGGGATTGAACCAGGTCCCTGAGCTTGCCTAAGTTTGCCTAAACAAGTGCTTTAGTCCCCTGAGCTATCTCACTAGACCTGGAATTGTTTTAGTTTTGAAACTATCCCTTTAAGGAACTAGGAAAAAAACAAAGAAAGACATGCAGTGGGAGAATAAATATATGGATATGAAAAGTGTCATCATCATGAATTCTTGAGTTCTAAGAACTACAGAGATCTACTGTGTTGACAGCTGCTTATGCCACCTCTGCTATGCAATGGAAGATCTTTCTGGGGCTCAGTTTCTTCATCTAATGATGCTAGCTACCTCAGGGCTTGTTGTGAGCATAAAAGCAATAGTAGACATGAAGAGACTATCCTGGTGCCTGGCGTCATGAAGACGTAGTGACTTTCATTACCGTAGTGGTGACTTCCACACTAGGATCAACTCAAATCCCTTGAGAAGTGACTAAAACATGGTTGTCAAGTTGATTATGGTCAGTAAATTCATTTATTGGTTTGGAATTCTGTCAAGAAACCAAAAGGAGGCCTGGGGTATACCCACATACAACCAGCAGTCCTTATCACAAAGGATTTCCTTTTATCTGCTTCAATTTGCATGGGAGTAAATAACATACTCAGCATGGCTTTCATTTTTCCACTGCCAAAATAATTAATATTTTAAAGCATAACAGAAATCTACATCTACCTCCATGTGTGGAAAATGTCTGTGACAGTTACAGTCAACAACGTATATACAATGTAGGATTCTGGAAATTTTTTTAATTAAATGGAGTTCCCCAACTAATACGGTAATGACACTTTCTCAATTGTAAATTGACATCTTTTCAACCATAGCGTAGAAAAATGGATCTGAAAAGCCTATGGACAGACCTTGAAGACACTCTAGTGAGGCTGGATCTCTTATTTTATAGGTCAGAAACAAATAGCCAAGGAAAGGAAAATCATACACTTGTCTTAAAAAAAAAATCATTCACTTAAGCAAGTAAATGTGTTAGTGGGAAAGCTAGTGAATAGCCCATCCCAAGCACTGCTTTCTAAGGCTGAGTATTGTCCTCAGAGGATGTAGAGAGATCCCATTCTGCCCTTTACCCTACTGATGCCCTGTTCCTCCTCTCCTCTGATCTGGTCCTCTGGGGCCCTCTTCCAGTCCCTTCAATCCCCTGCTCACGTGGTAAAAGGCCCATATGGCATGTTCTGATAATCCCGGTGCGCCTTCCATAGCTCCATAGTGTCTCTTATGGGGTACTTGTCCTCCTGCCGCATCACTTGCTCCAAGAGTGGGGCACTGGCCAGGTTCACTAGGAGTTTAGAGTCCATGATGGATGTCCACATCGGACCATACTTGGCCTTGGTCAGCACCTGTGGGGTTCAACCAAAGCTAAATAACTGGGGTCCATTTGGGTGGGCATTTCTGGGACAGGGTGTGGGGTAAAGGTGAGGATCCAATGGCTGCACCAGAGCAAGTGGGTTGGGTAAAAGCGCAACATGCAGGCAGTAGGGCACTGGCATGGCCGGAGGTTCTAGAGGCAGAATACTGAAAACACAGCCACACAAAGGGCACGGAATAAGTATCTGGTGGAACTGAGGTCCTTGGAGGCTGTGTGGGAGAACAGGATGCTCGGAGGTGGATATTGGGATCCAGCATATTATGGAGTCAAATCTCTTTCAGCGAGTGAGCTAGAAAGCTCACAGTTTCTTCTTACCATTTAAGTTTACTGCAGCTTGTACCTTCATAGAGATAAAGATAAATGCCTTACGTAATCAACCAGAAAAGTGAAAGATGATGAGAAATTTCAAGAAAAAAGAAAAAGAAAAAGAAACAGATGACAAAGGCAGAGTCTAAATATGAACTGGGCCATGTGGTACTTTTTTTTTTTTTTACAAAACAAAACAAAGTGTTGTTGGGTTATGTAATTCTCATATATTGTATCTTGAGGGCTGAGGATATAGTTCAATAGTAAAGTGCTCAGGGACTGGGTGCCGTGCCGGGCCCACCCTGGGGCACAGTGAGACAGTGATTGAGACTAGGTGTGGTGGCATGCACCTGTAATCCCAGTGCTTGGGAGGCTGAAAACACGAGGCTCACTATGAGTCTGATCTGTGTAGTGAGACCCTGTAAACCCTGTACTAAATACATAAAAAATAAAATAAAATAAATATAAAATAGTAAAGTGCTTGCCTGGCATGTATAAGGCCTTGGAGTTTATCTCCAACACTGAAAAAAATATATATCTTAGAACTTCTTAAGCATTTGATAACTGATACTCATTACATCTATGGAATTAAGCTGCGTGTGGTGGTACATGTCTGTAATCCCGGCACTCAGGAGACTGAGGCGGGAGGGTCATTGTGAGTTCAAGACCAGCATGGGCTCAAAGCCAGCCTGAACTGCATCATGAGGCCCTGTCTCAAAAAGACAAAAAAAAAAAAAAAAGAAAGAAAGAAAGTAAAGGAAAAGAAAAAAGAAACTGACACTCCACCATGTATTTATTGTTAAAAATGACAGACAAAATAAATATATTTTCCTATCAGGAGGGGGCAATTTAAAAAGAAGCCAACTTCAAAAGAAAATTTACTGGTTACCCACAATTGAAAGAAAGTAAAACAGTGGTTTCTCAGGTACTTCCTCTTTCATAATTGTTACCAAAGAGATTTTTAAGAGCAGCACAGTCTGCTCCAGTACAAAACTGAGGCCTTGGAGCACAATTTGTTAATATCAAAATTCTGTTAAAAAGAAACTAAAGATATTGAAAAGATCTGTTATTCATTTTACAAAAGAAAACATCACCCAATTTAGAACTGAGGAAAACCCCAGTCATACTGGATATCATTATTGGCCTTAAAAATGGGATTCTTAGCTGGCTGCGGTGGTACATGCCTGTAATCCCAGCACTCAAGAGGCTGAGGCAGGAGAACTGCCAAGAGTTTGAAGCCAGCCTGGGCTACATAACAAGTTCAAGGCCAGCCTGAACTAAGTAGAGAGACTCATCTCAAATTCCTTTTTCCCCCTTTTCTTTTGGTAACAGGAAGTGAACTCATGACTTACCAGGCAGACACTGTGCCACTGAGCTGCATCCCCAGACCCCCATCTCAAACAAACAAACACACACACACACACACACACACACACACACACACACACACACACACAGAGATTCTCTTAGGGCCACTGCAGCACAATTGCTCCCAATAGATGACTCCATTGCCCAGAATCCACCCTGGCTGATTCTGCCTGTTGCCTGGGAGACAGTCAATGCCCAGTTAGGTTTGCTTCCCACTTGAGCCTCTCAGTAACACCTGCCTGAGAACAGCTGATTGTCTGTAAACTACAGCACATAAGCTTACTTCCCTTCAGGAAAACAAACAGACGCATGCATGGGTGGTAGGAGTCTTTCTCTCTCTGTCTCTGTCTCTCTCTGTCTCTCTGTCTCTCTCTTTGTCTGTCTCTGTCTCTCTCTTTGTCTGTCTGTCTCTCTCTATCTCTCTCTGTCTCTGTCTCTCTCTGTCTGTCACTGTCTCTCTCTCTCTGTCTGTCTCTATCTCTGTCTCTCTCTGTCTCTGTCTCTATCTCTCTCTGTCTCTGTCTGTCTTTGTCTCTGTCTCTGTCTCTGTCTCTGTCTCTCTCTCTCTCTCTCTCTCTCTCTCTCTGTCTGTCTCTGTCTCTCTCTCACTCTCACCACCTTTCTTTCATCTTTTCTCTCTTCCTTCTTTTATTAAAATTATTCCTTTTTTTTTTTTCAGTGCTGGGGATTGAATTCAGATCTATATCCCCAGCAAAAAAATAAATTTGTGCTGTTTAAGCCACCCATTTGGTAGTATTTTGTTATGACAATCCTGGCAGTGTCAACCTAAACAAGAACCAGAGGATCTCCAAAGAATATTTATTTAGGAATAGCAGAGCATTACAATGGAAATACATGTAATTTACTATAACTGTAAACTATAGATATATTCAAAGAAATGAAACCAGTTTTCAGATGTGAAATGAGTAGGATTGCGTAGGATTACACACTTCTGAAATAATATCCCTTGGCTAGAAGGATCATTAACAGGGTGGCATTGGTCTAAAATTAAATAAATAGTTATTGGGCAAATGTCCTTGACAAAATAGACTCAGGGTAGGATTCTGGAGGCTGCTGTACAATATGGATCCAGCAGTCCTTTTTTTGTTGTTGTTTTGTTTTGTTTTTAAGATAATCTTCAAAAAAATAAGATAATCTTCATATTGATTAAGAAATGTTACACAAGTATGTATTTAAATTTTCAAAGACTATGAAATCTCTCAGGAAAAAGCAGAACTATAGGTTTACTGAAAACACTCTTCTCTCCTCTGCCTCCAGTTTGACATTTCAAATAACCCAGATAGTAGACAATATCAAATAACTACATAGTAAAAGTGATTTTTAAAAATCATGTCATAACCCTGGAAGAAAGGTAATTGGAGTAAGCTTGGCCACGTGGGGGCAGCCTGTAACTATGTGGCTCACCACCAACACTGTGAGTGATTCATTTTTTATAAAGAAAACACAAAAAATGCCATTAAAAATATTTTTTCTCGACACATCCTGCAATTTTTGGTTAACAGACACAAGAGCCAAAACAAGCAAACAATTTGTCCTATGTTTTAAAAGAGCAAAGTCATGTAGTAGCACTATAAGGAATAAAGATAGCTTCCCTGAAAAACAGGTTAAGAATTAAGATATTGGGAGTGCTGCATTCTTCAATTCAGTTCAGTTTTACCCAATCTTACTGTAGGCCACTAAAACTAGAGCAGTGTGCTTAGGAAGAACTTGGTTAGAGACACTGAAGGCTAATGTGCTATGTTTGACTTCATGTTGGACACCATGAGAAATCCCAGCATCAGAGATAAAAGTTTTCCTGATTGAGGTTTCACTACAAAGGTGAAAAAATTTCTATTTCAGTCTTTATACAGTAGGTTAACTAATAAAAGGTCTCAGCCAGGGAGATAGCTCAGTAGCATAAGTACCTGTCTGGCAAGCACAAGGTCCTAAATCCAATCCCTGAAAACACACACACACACACACACACACACACACACACACACACACACAGAGAATCAATTCAGGCATACACTTTGGCCAACATTAGCTATATATAGGGCCAGGGAGATGGCTCAGTAGAATAAGCCCTTCTCTGGCAAGTGCAAGGGCCTGAGTTCAATCCCCAGCTCTGCAAAAAAA